GAACTGCAGTCAGCTGAAGTAGCCTGCAGTGCTGCATTTAACCACTGCACCACCTCGGCAACACAGAGGACAATTTAATGGGAGTAGAAACAGTTAATACTATCCAGTTTCTACAAAGTAGATATATATTATAGCTGTTTATGCTTTAAGAGTAATATTAACTATATAAAGTGGCTTCTTTAATAAAAAGCTTATTCATAAAATTAATTCAAGTTTTAAAGCACTATTTGTTTATCCAGTTCAGGAGGAGGCCTGAAAAAAGTCAGGATGCTTTAATGAGTAACAAGTTCATTAGATGCAGATACAGATACACATATACATACATACATACATACATACATACATACATACATACATACATACATACATACATACATACATAACCAGTGGTGGGTTGCAAATCCCGTTTCAACCTCTATGAACGCGCACGCATGCATTCAAGCGCCTCCGTGATGCTCCAGTTGCTCCACGGAGCGTCACGCAGGCGCTGTAGGCGCCATGCGCCTGCACGGAAGCTTTTAAACTCCGGTAAGGAGCATTGACAGGTGGGTGGGCTCTCCGGAGCATTGTACTGGAACGGTATCCGGTGCTCCAGGCTGGCTCCAGTACACTCGTACCAGGGCATACCACCTGCAACCCACCACTGATGCATCAGTGGTGGGTTGCAGGTGGCATTGTCCTCTGTGTTGCCTATGTAATTATGTATGTATATACATAATTACATAGGCAACACAGAGGACAATTTTTTTTTAATTCCACAAAACACATAGAAAGTATATACATTTTTGTATCTTCCTTATATCCTCTTATTTTCTCTCAACAAAATGACAGTTTTCAGGCAGAGAAAACTTTCTATTATCAAAGAAATATATAGTTGCTTGCAAGTCAAAAGTTTTATTTATTAATTAAATTTTGTCCAACTCCATAGCGTTTCCTGGAAATTTATAACAATAAAAAGAGTACAGTATTAAAATAGCATAATAAAAAAGAAAGAATAGTGGTGTCAAAATAAAGCCACAGAATATACATACATACAGTATTTCGATAGGAGACCTATTACCCCCCCAGGAAAAGGAAAAGTCATATTTTTAAAGACTATCCCTATGAGAATTAGATAAGTGACATATGACAGTCTGAAGGGGATGCTGTTCTAGATGGCAAGCAACATGACAGAGAAAGCCAACAGTATTTGGCTAATAAATCAAATACACGCCCAACTTAACCATATTCTAGTTGGTTTATAGCCAAGAATAAAGCATAATAAGAACAAAATAAACAATAATAGGAAAAAACAACAGAAAAACCTGGAACTACAGTCACAGTTCCTTGATTCAATCTACAACATTCTCCTCTCAATCTGACCTCACCATTTCTCAAGCTTTCAGAAGATAGCCAGATCTTAAGTCCTTTCCTGAAGGTTAAAAGTTGGAAATCTGTTGGATCTGGGAGAGGTGTTTCTTAAGGCATGGACTGCAATGGAGAAGGCGTGCTTCTAAAAGCAAGATAGCAATGTTTAAGGGAAGGGACCTATCTACTCTGATGGGATAGCCAGATACTTCACTGGGAAATGGTTTGCAGATAACCTAGTTCTAAATTAGATTAAAAAGAAAACTTGAGCAAAAGTTATCCTTTCCAATTACATTATTATGGGATTATTTACTTTTGTACCACCAATGTGTATAGAAGTTTATATTCCAACAGTAACACAATATGGCTGGGTGTCAATATGTATGGATTTTGGTCAGTTTAAGGATAATTATCTTATATGCTCCAGATGCTCTTTTGTCTGTGCTTTTTCTTCCTAAGGAAGCCATCTCAAATTTTTCATGGTATTTTGACTACAAAAAATTCTAAGGAAGAAAAAGCACAGACAAAAGACTAGCCTTTTGACAGTGAAATCAATTCCCTAATACTCTTCAGGTAAGAATCAATTTTATTATCTTTAGAAAAGGAGGGAGTTGACCACAGCTGGGAAAAATTGTTATTTAGCCAGTCACATAGTACGTAGATATTCCTTTTAAAATTGTATTTATTTTTAAATATTGATAATTGTTTGCACATCTCTGAGGTTATGCATAAAATAGTTGATGACTTGTAACTATCTCATTTTTTTTTGCATTTTAACTTATTTTATTAGGTTGGTTTTTTTTAAAATTGATTATCCCATGGGTATAATATGGATAATATCAAACTGCAGTGTCCTGCAACCCTTTGGACCCCATGGACCTTTCTGTGGAGGAAGGTTTTTCTGTGGACCGAAGGGAGCATGGTTTTGCCTGCTGCCTGCATGCCACAAATGGGCTTTGCTTGTTTGTGTAGCCCAGGTGCTGGAATGCCATGGATCGGTGCCACTCCATGGATCAGGGGTTGGGCACTCCTACCATACTGCATTAACAATAGTGATAGCACTTAGACTTATATGTCACTTCATAGTGCTTTACAGGCCGCTCTAAGTGATTTACAGAATCAGCATATGGCCCCCAACAATTTGGGTCTTCATTTTACTGACTTTGGAAGGATGGCTAAATTAACCTTGAGCCGGTGAAAATCGAACTGCTGGCAGTCAGCAGAATTAGCTGCAATACTGCATTCTAACCACTGTGCCACCATGGTTCAGTAGAAATATGGATACATGGGTAACTGGGTTTGGCTTATCTATGGATGGGCATATCCCTGAGTATGTACAATAACACTTTTTAAAGTGCCTGTATATCCTGCATATACGAGCTATAAATCTATCCAGGGATGAAGTGACCCTTGATTTTTTTAGCCAAAATACCATGAAAAACATGAGATGGCTTATCCCTGGGTTATACATTCTTAATAGTGTTTTGGTTGTAAATTCAAGGCTCACTTATCTACAAATGGATCTTATACACAAGTATATCATCATCATTATCATCATCATCATCATCCCATTGTCTATACCAGAGCTGTCAAACTCCCAGCCCGCAGGCAGGATGCATCATGTGCTGGCCACACCCACGCCCAGTTTAGCAAAGGGGGGGGGGAAGTCCTGATATATCACATGACGCTGCCGTGACAGTATGATTTTGACACCGCTGGTCTATTTACTGCAGGATGAAGGCCCTTTCCGTATGTTTTCAACCAATATGTTTGGAGTGTGTAATGTAAAATATGTATGTATGTATGTATAAATATGTAATGATGTGAATCTTGAACTGTTTGACTTGTTTCTCGTGTTATATTAAGAAATGTTGAAAACTCAGGGATATAGAGATATTCAGAGCTATTTTCCAGCTCTTCACAAATTACTCCCATTCTTTCTCCTGATACCACATAGAAATATTATATGCTTATGTTGTGATAGCAATAGCATTTATACACTTGCTTCACAGCCTTCTTTAAGCAGTTTACAGAGTCAGCATATTGCCCCCAACAATCTGGGCCCTCATTTTACCGACCTCGGAAGGATGGAAAACTGAGTCAACCTTGAGTCTGGTGAGATTTGAACTGCCAAACTGGAGTCAGCTGACAGTCAGCAGAAGTAGCCTGTAGTACTGCATTCTAACCACTGTGTCACCATGGTGATGATTCCTTTAGCAAACTTTTAAATTACAGATTACTTATTAACTTTTAAAATCTAAGCAAGAGATCTTCATATTTTATAGAGACTACAACCAAATTGAAATCAAAATTATAAACAAAATGATAGATTGTAATAAACTAAGCTTATGGGTCCTTCCTTCTTCTTTTTCTTCCTACAATTTTAAACACTGCCAAGCATGATAACTATCTGTGAGCAGCAGAACTGCATTGATTCAACAGGAAGTTCAACTGAATCCAAAATGAACTGTAGAAAGCTCCTAAACCAACATGTCTCATTTCTAAGTGTATCTAAAATGGTATGCCTTTTCTGTTCATGTACCTTCAAAGTATACAAATAACAAAGCTACAGAAAAACAAATTGAGAAGAAAATGCTACTCTTTAAAGATAAAACTACAGATTACCATATTTTTTTGGAGTATAAGATGCACCGGAGTATAAAACACACCAAGGTTTTAAAGAGGCAAATTAAAAAAAAGTTTTTGCACTCTGCAAACCTCCAAAAAACATCCCATTTTTCACAAAAATGGGCCCATTTCCCCCCTTTAGGGGGCTTGCAGAGTGCTGGGGGGAGGGGGGGAATGGCTTGTTTTTCATTTTAAAAAAGGGCATGGATAGCCTTTAGGAAGCTTATAAAGTGCTCCAGGGGCGGGGTGGTGGTGGTAAAATTGAGCAAAAAACAGGCCGTTTTTTGCTCATTTCTACCCTCCCAAGCCCCCAGGAGCTCTCTAAAAGCTTCCTACAAGCTATGCATGGCCATTTTGGTGAAGGGGGTGGGGTTTCAGGAGGCAAAAAATGCTGTATTCAGTGTATAAGACACACCCAGATTTTCAGCCTCTTTTTTGAGGGGAAAAAGGTGTGTCTTATACTCCGAAAAATACAGTATATAAATGCTACCAAAGAAACTCAGTGGTATTGTCTTTTTATTTGTTAGGCAATTTTATAAGAGGTATTAATAAAATAAGATTTATTTTCCAGGCTAAAAACTATAATTTCATTTATTTTTATTCAACCTTTATTATGGAATCATTTTATGCAGTGATTGCAAGGGATCATAGAACTTATCTAGTCTATTCCTTTCCTAGTGAAGCAACCCATTGTTACAGCATTCTGGACAGTCTCTGTTTAAATAACTCCAGTGAAGGAGAATTCACTGCTTCTGAGGTAATCTGTTTCATTATTAAACAGTTCTTATGGTTAGAAACAATTTCTTGATGTTCAGCTGAAAGCTTATTTCTTGCAATTTAAAACTCTCATCTTTTGTCTTATGTTCTGAATTAACTCTGGTAGGTTATTTCCCATTTAACATATGAAAGCCTTCAGATACTTGAAGGTAACCACCATATCTCCCCAAGGCCTTCTCTTCTCTAGGCTAAACATATCCACTGTCTCTGACTGTTCTTCCAGTCTTTCCTTCCAGGAACTTATCATTATAGTTGTTCTCGTCTGGACATGTTCCATTTGTCAATGTCCTTCTTAAAATGCACTGCATAGAAGCAGCCACTAAAAATTGTTATGCTATTCCCAAAGCTTGAAATAGTATGCTATACAGTAAGGTGCTTCAGCTTGTTGGGAGAATTTAGGAATTAATATAAATATAAAAGGAGAAACATTCACTTTTGAAAATCACTTTCCATTTTTAAAATAAAATAATTATATAACCATGCAAGATTATGGTACTGCAATAATGTTTAGAAACAGACTTCAAAATTAAAGTGTGGATCCATAAACACTCTTACAACATATTTTGGCAAGGTTTCATAGTTCTGGGGAATCCCTAGTTCCATTCATCAAATAATATTCTTTAAAAAGTATTTATTCCTATGGCACAGTATAAGTATCATATTTAAGAACAAAAAATAAAACATCTAATAAATATAGAAACGAAATGAATTAAGGTAATATCTTATTAGCCTGCAGAATGGGAATTTGAACGTATGCTAATTACATTTTGCCATACCCAGATATCAACAAGTCTGCAATATTAAAAGCAACTAGAGCTGCTAAGCACTTTTGTTTCATAATCTAAGCAACAGAATTACACACCACTATTTCATAAAGAAAAATATACTTTCAAGCAAAATAATCCTTCCTGCCTTTGACCTTCCTTTGCTTTTCACTTTATGCTATCCCAAATAAGAATAATAAAACAAAGATATGCTTAATCGTGATATACATTGCATGAAATCTTACCGTGAAACTATTGTTGACATTTTTAGTGCTAGATTCTGCCACACTGGCATCTGTCAGATCCACCTCATCAAAAATGATTGACTGGAAAAATTTAAAAAGGTAAGAATTAATGCCAAGAACAAAAAGAAAGTCTAATACATAAAATTTGGAGATTAACAGAACTATTAGGAGTAATTTCTTCACAGGAGATTTTCTCACCTATTTTACCAGACGGATAGCTAAATCTTTTAGAAGTGGCTGATGGATTGGAGGAATGGTAACATGACCTGTCCAAATGGTGCAATTAGGGTCTATGCTCTATGATGACACTCTATATCCATTTATCCCAGACATGTTCTATGAGTCAAAACACCATATAAAATCAGAGAAGCAGAATGCTGCCTATGCCTAGGATTATACTGGATATAATGATTTTATACTTCTACTCCCCACCATCTCTTTTGTTCACCAGCAGACATTTCATCTGCCCTCTGTTGTTACTGTGGAAGCTGGCTCTTGAAAATTCCCTATGCATAAAACAGATGCCAGACTTGTTAAAAAGAACGTTGGTCCTTACCTGAATGTTTCTTTTCTGCAGCAAAGGCAGAAGGGGCTACAGCAGGGTTTAGTCACAGCCTGATTGGTCCAGAGACTGAGGGAATTTTCTTAAAGTCACAATCCTTCCCTATTGGCTCCCAGTTTCCTCGAGATCGAATGGAAGAGCTGTAATCTTATGTAAGGCAATAACCGGAGACACATTCAGAACCATACATACACCTCCCCCCGACCGCCCCTCGCCGGGCCTATCTGAACTTCCTAGGGTGGGATGTAGCCCCCCCATCTTTGCTGCAGAAAAGAAATGTTCAGGTAAGGAACGTTCTTTTTCCCGCAGCTTGGTGGGAGGGGCTACAGCAGGGACATACCCAAGCTAAGTCCCAGGGTGGGATGAAGACCCTGGGAGAGGGGAGGTTGCCACCTGCTGAAGGAAACAACGCCCGAAAGACGCATCCGCCGAGGTGAAACAGTCCAAAAGGTAGTGTCGGATAAAGGGTGTCGGGGAGGCCCAGGTGGTTATCCTACAAATGTCCTCCGGGGGGGCCTAGTGGCCCAAATGGCCGTGATAGCGGCACTGCGGGTGGAATGGGCCGTGATCCCTTGGGGCTAAATAGGCCTCACTAATGGCTTGTCTCAGTCATCTACCAATGGTGGCAGACAAAACCCTAGCACCCAGTGTGCTGGGCTGAAAGGACAGAAAGAGTGTCTCTGACCGGCAGAAAGAGGATATGCACCTAAGGTAGATACGCAAGGCGCATCGTACATCCAGCCGGTGCCATAGGTATTCCCTCTCGTGAGAAGGAGAGGGGCAGAAGTTGGGAAGTATGATTTCCTGCGATCTATGAAACAGAGAGTTCACCTTCGGGATGAAGGTAGGGTCTAATCTAAGGACGACTCTGTCCTGGTGAAATTGGCAAAGGTCGTCCCTGGATGACAAAGCTCCCAACTCTGATAT